GAAAGAGGATTCATTTTCAAATTTTGACGAAGCTGAACAATGCGTATGACAATATGCTGAGTTTAAGGGATTCAAGATAAGGCTGGGTCGAAGTACTATGATCGAAGCAGAAGATGGTAAAACAATATGAAAAAGAACTATTCTCTGTCATCACTTTGGTTATTACCAACCAACAAATTCTACAAAAGCAAAAAAGTCTGTTAAAACGGAATATGAATGGTACGTGAATCTTTTATAGCCATTAAAACAAAACCCAAACAACTATGTCTATGTAACAACATTGGAGGATGAACAGAATCATGGAATATATCCTGAAGCACTTTAATTTGAAAAGGTTAAGGTGTTCACCAAGGAGATGCAGAAAGATGTTGAATTCTATATGACGCAGTATCATTTTGGCGTGACTTTGATTCGAAAAATCCTCAAGCAAAAATACCCTTTCTATCTGATTTTTGTCAAAGACCTATATAATGAGATTAGAAAGTACAAGCCATCAGTACAAGTCAATGAAGATGACGCATCAAGATTCTATAAGGAACTGTTAACCAAACAACGTGAAGATCCTAGGTGGTTTGTAGAGGTTATGTGGGAGGCAGGGACTAATACCCTTACTAGACTCTTTTGGATGAGTCCAGATCAGATTATATTGTGGCGTGAATTTAGTCAAGCGGTTGGTCATGACAATACAGCAAGAACAAATCGTTATTGCATGCTCTTGTTACTTTTTGTAATTCGTGATGATGATATAAAATCTCGAATTGTTGCACAGGCCCTTCTAAGTGATGAGACTACTGAATCATATCAGTGGTTATTGAGTATAACAAAAAAAGCGACAAGAGGACAAATACCTGGTATGATTATTACTGATAGTGACCCTACCATGGAACGTGCAATCATGATTGAATACCCAACAAGTTATTATATTTTTTGCATATAGCATCTTAAAGAAAATCTCGAAAAAATGCTTCACAGAAAGTTAGGTGTACATTTTGATACATTTTATTCGGTGTTTTGGAAATGTTGTAATGCCTATACTCCCGAAAGCTTTAATTATTATTGGAACAAGTTAATAGAGAATTATTTTGTAACACAGCAGTATTTAGAAAGGTATTTATTTGGACGACAAAAATCCTGGCCAAGAGGATTTATGGTGATATTGTTTACTTTGGGGATTGAATCAACTTTGTTTGTTGAGAGTAAAAACACATGCATTAAATACCTTTTTGAAAGCAGTAATATGTCTCTTTGTGATCTTGGAAAAGTCCTTATGAATCACGTCAAAGATAAAGCAAGTGAGAAACAATATGAAGAATTAATTAGCATTAGTGTTCCTTTGACTATGAATCATATAACAATTTTTCTAGCAATAGAATCAGTTGTTATACATTATCTGCGTCTGAAAGTTGCACAGTATATAATTGGTCAAATAAAGAAATATGTATATTACATAGCATACCTATCTAATATCGAAGAAATTGAATATATGTCTACAGATGAACTGTCTGAAAGTAAAAGGTTTGAAGATGAACCAGATAGTGTTCTTGCATGTGCATGGTTTCTTTTGCATCAATTGCACTATGATAGTATTGTAGAAGTTTGGAAGATTTCTCGAATTACTGGACGCAATATAAATCATGTGATTTTTTGTTTTGCAGATAAATCTTATTGTTGTACCTGCTTATTGCAACAAAAACTTGGGCTCGTTTGTCAGCATTATTTTTATTTTCTAAATATTACAGAGGCAGCACGGTTTAGTATAAAGTTAATCAATATTCGCTGGATTCCTCAAAGCAAACGTAGTGATGCTCTAAATGAATATAAGTGTTTTAGGCAATATTTTAGTGATAATAAGCAGAAAATTATGTCAAATTGCCCCTTTCAACTTATAATATGGATGTGCAAGATAATTTTGATGATTAATTCATAAAAGAACAGCTCTTTTATAGAAAGGTTTGGGGTTTAGTGCACACTGCAACTGATAAGTATTTACTATATCAGGATCATGGATTTATTCAAGTAGTTGAAAATTATTTGGATGAAGTGCGTAAACGTGAAGAAGAACTTACACAAGCAGGCGCAATCAACTTAAATGATTCTAATAAAGAGAATACACATTCAAGTATTCAGCTTAGAAATCTATTAAAGGTGATTACTAAAAGCTGACCAAAATTAGCTAACCACCGTAAAGATAAAACAAACCAGCACTTAAAAATCATAATGGTAAGTGAAAGCATGGTCCGAATTTTTGCAGTTATTGCAAAGAATCAGACCACAATATTGTTAAGTGTCCTCATAAGTCTATAGACCAAAATTAAATTGTCATATATATAGCTAAAGTATTGGGCTAAGTTGCAAACTCATATTATCATGTTATTTTGTTTATTTATAAACGAATCTTTGGTTTTTACTTGAATAAGCCAACACTATTGCAGTTATCCCTTAGATTGTAGTAGAATACAGGCAAATTTGCCTGCGTTTTTACACTTTTTTAGCTCTGATTTACTTTTT